CCCCGGCTGTGCACGCGCCCGCAGAACGCCCAAAGCTCCGTGCAGTGAGAAACTTTATACCCAGGACCAGGCGTCAGGGAGCAAAATGAATGTCCACAAGTGGACGCCAGAGGATTCCCAACTGCCCCTCAAAACACTCAGACTCACGACCATCCAGTCAATGCCTATAGACCAGGATAGAAACCTCCTCTTTCTCGCTCGGAGTGACCGGTGGCTTGCAGCGGGAGACGGTGCCTGTCGAAGCCCACCTGGTAACCACTATGCCACCAGGGCGCCTATCAGCTTTCAAAGTCGGCCCCTGCCCGGAAACACAGGCGAGCACATGATGCCAGTCTTCCAGGGTGTACGATGAGATGATTTCAGAGGACCCCGGCTGTCAGAGTTCAAGCACTGTCTGCCTTTCGGGGTGAGCCAAGTCTCCCCCAGGGGGGAAAACACCAGCAGCCCAGAGCGTTGGCCTCTGGCCATCAGTGGCACCTCACGGAGAAAAAAGGAGCGTGTCTGAAATCCGTGTTCACCTGGCTTCTGGCTCAGTTGTCCACAAGCACACAGACGTCCGGTCCTTGGCTCAGAGCTCGCCTCCCATCGTTGTGCCGGACTCTGTGCTAGTGAGGGAAATCTCCTGAGCCTCTTGTGATGGACAGAGCCTCTGTTCCCCCTGCTTTCTGAGGGAGCAACTGCCGTGAGCGCTTGCTGCAGTTGGGAGAGAAGAGGGGGCTTTGGACAAGGCTGGTGGCAGCAAAGGCCACAGACTGTCTGACCCCCGTCTTACTCGATGAGACAACGAGATGGGAGAGTGAAGACACGGGATGTTTTTGGGGAACTGGAAATGGGCACCCAGAGCAGTTTAACGTCACAACTGTTTTTCGCAATAATAATTTATTATGTGTTTGTGCACGTTTACAAGGCGAGTTAAATTCCCCTTTGATGGTGTCCACACATTGATCCGTGGCTTTAGGGGAGGCCACAGCTAACAAACATTGAGGTTTTAATATTTGGGGGTGGGGGCAAAAGTGTTTTTTCAGCCTGGGAGTTTTCCGCGCCGTACATCGCACCCTCCAGCTGCCTTGGGTGAGGCACGGTTCTGAGCTCCTGTGTGAGTTGGACGCCTGGCGTGGCTGGCAAGCCGTGAGTGTGAGGACTGGGGCTTTGCCAGCAGCAGGTGGCAGAAGGCTGAGCTGGCAGCTTCTAGGGCCCTGGGGCGACATCTATGTCGGGTTGGATTCCAGCGCAGCACGCCCGCCCTCCAGTGTTCCTGGAATGTCTGCCTGTCCCAGCATGCACTCTGGCTCTCGAGTTAGAGCAGACTGCCCCCTGGGATATGTAGTGTTGGCAGGTCACCACTGTCCTGGATGGCTGTTTGAGAGTGCCACCAAAGCCAGGTTCAGACAGGGCCCTGGTTGAGACACCTATTGAGGGCTCAGGTGATTTGCCTGTCCACGGACGGGGAACATCTGCCACATGGTGGGCACTGTGGCGCTGCTAGAGGAAGTGACAGCAAGGAGGGCCAGCATCACTGGGACAGTGTGCACGCGGGAACCACGCACAGATGCCCTATGGCCCGGCCTCCCAAGAGGCCAGACGGTGGTGGCACAGGGAGAGGCATCTGCCTACCTCCTTGAGTCTTCTCTGTGAGCTCACCTTCTCGCCTGCTGCCCTTGATCGGGAGCCCTGCGGGAGGCCAGCAGACAGTTTGGGAGGTGTATTTTCAGAGTCTGGCAGCCATGCCTTCTTAAGGGATCTTTATCATGAATTCGAGGAAGGTTAGCAGAGCAAATCACTAGTTTACACTGAACAGTGCAGACACTTTTCATTTCATCTCACTGATTACATCCCGTAAGGCAGCCTGGCTTATCGCCACTTTCTCCCTGTGTTTCCTGTTTCCATCCCTCCTCTCCTAGCTCTCTAAACTTTGCCCTTGGGTGAATGCTGCCTTTTTGACCGTAATCAAGTGGTTACTCTCAGGTGTGCATGCCTCGCTAGTGTTCTTATTCCTCATGGATCTATTATTTGACTGAAAATGAGTCCCGGGACCGCGTTCAGTCGCAGACGTGAAGGGTGACCAAGGGCCCTTAGTCTCAGGAGCCGTACCAGTCGCTGTTCACACAGCACCCCGAGTTTGTGACTCAGAGCAGCTGGTAAAGGTGGCCGGGCACCATCTACTTCTGGTCTCGGAGTTGTGGGCACTGGTGGCTGCGTGGCCCCAGTCCACTGGACTCATTGCTTCCACGGGTCTCTTGATTCCCATCACTTTGCCTTCCTCCGGAAGGGGAGCAACTCAGCCTAGATATCAGGCCCGAGAGCCGGGGTCGTAGCGGCCTGCTGCCACGTGTGCAGGTGGGCACAAGCTGGAAACTAGCCTGACGGCAGCCAGCGGCAGTCCCCATGCAACGCAACTCACCCTTGTTGACATGCAGCCCTGCCAGTCTTCCCGTATCCCCCACCCTGAGCCATAGCATCACCACCGCACTGGAGACAGACGAGCTCCCTGGCAGTGCCAGCTCTACAGCCGGCCCTTTCTGCCCCCCAGCTCCTGGTTTGCCTTGTCCACAGCACCACACGGCACTCCGAGTCTGGCTTCTCCGAGCCGGCATCAAGCATCTGATACCCGTAGTCCATCTCTTGCTTGTTGCTGAGTTTTCTTCCCTCTAGGAGCCGCGGGGGTGTGGTGGTTACAGGTTGGGCTGCGATCCGCATGGTCTGCAGTTCGAAACCACGAACAGCATCAAGGGAGAAAGCCTGGGCTTCCTACTCCTGTAAACAGCCACAGTCTCGAACCTCACGGGGTGGGGGTGGGGTGGGGGGCGCTATGAGTCAGCTACAGGCAGGGAGTTTGGGTTTTCATATTCCCGCTGCCTGACAGCGGGTCATGAAGGCGGCAGGAGCACGGAAGCATTGACGTGTGGGGCTGGCGAGGACGAGTGAAGGCGCCCTGGACTCCCGGAGAAACAACAAGGCTGGCTTGGAAGAAGTACAGCCAGAATGCGCCTTAGAATCGAGGATGGCCGGACTTTGTCGCACATCCCTTGGACATGCTGTCTGAGAGACCAGTCCCTGGAGACGGAGGGGAGCGAGAAAGAGAAGCTCCTCCACAGGCTGCACCCACGGGATCAGACCCCAGAGCGAGTGTGAGGGCGACCCAGGACCGGGCGGCGTTTTGTTCTGTGCACGTGCGGTGCCTCGCCACAGCAGTGTTCCCCATTCACCTGCCACAGGGTGTGTGGGAGGTCTGCAGGTCGCCCGTGGCTGTGGGGATGTACTTTTCATTTGGGTCTGAAGCCAGGTGTGTAGTCACATGGATGGGCCTGTCTGTTTCACTCTGTAAGACAGGTGCAGATGTCATCCTTAATCTCCTCCAGAACACACTCCTTTGTACTTGTAGCTGTTGACCCCAGTGGCTAAAAAGTGGCACACGGTGGGGCATCTGCCAGGAATGGGGACTGAGTTGCTTGAAGCACGCCCATGACTCGGAGGGGGCGGAGCTACATGTGTGACCTCAGTGCTGGGTGCTGGCACCCAGGGGGAGCATGAAGCACCATGGGGCCTTCTGTTTATGTGGCAGGGGGTGGGGGAAGGGCTTTCAGAAGCGTTTAGTTGGGGTGTGGGGTGTAAGGGTCTGGAAGCTGTTGTGCTGGTAGACGCTGCGGTGGAAGCCTGAGGGGCTCCACCATTGGTGGGGAATGGCATGGAAGGGCGATGGCCGCTCCCGCGAGGCGTCACCAACCAGCTGCCATGTGGCCCGAGGGCCTGGCTCCATCACGTGATGGCTGCTCTCTCCCGCAGTGCGGCATCCTCCTGGGGGCGCTGCTGCTGCTCTTCTGCTCCTGGATGACGCACCAGTCCTGCATGTTCCTGGTGAAGGCTGCCAGCCTGAGCAAGCGCAGGACCTACGCCGGCCTGGGTGAGTGCCGTGTCCACGGCCCCTTCGCTCCCGCTGCCTTTGGCAAGGTTCTTTGGACAGCCATCTCCCCAACCCCGCATTGTCATTTTGACACGTAGCTTCATTCTTAAAATGGAGCACAACCCCACACTTCACAGCTGAAGTGACAGGCTAACAGGAGCCCCTATTTGTCCCCCTGCACCCCCCCCAAGTCCCCTGTGCTCTGCCCAAACCAAGGCACCCACAATCTTCCTCCTCGAAGCCTTCCGAGGGCCCTCCCCCACCCATCTGTGTGAGCCAGGGCCAAGCCTGGCTCTCACCGCAGCCCTCTCGGCTGCAGGCAGGGACAGTGTGCACATGCTCTGGGCCAGCGTTGCCGCCCCTGGTCCCCCTCCAGCTCCGCTGCCGGCTTCACATCCCCGATGGCAGCCTTTGTTTATGTGCTTGGGGCTGGGGCAGGGGGTCAGAGCGGAGGGGGCCCCTTGGAGCTGGGGTGCCCGTTTCCTTGCAGGAATCGTGCTGGCTGAGTCTGTGCTAGTGCTGGACTTTCCTGAGGAAGATCGCCCAGTCACACGTGGCCCACTCTGAGGCGCAGGCTCAACCGGGGTGAAGTGGGCCCCCGAGACCCCAGAAGGGGGCCCATAGGGTGACCTCCCTTGTAGGGTCTCTGCAGGGTCCCCTGGTGACAGGGCCCTCAAGCGCACCTTACTGGTCTTCACGTGGACCTTGGCCCCCATGTGTCTGGCTCCGCCTCTGGGCATCCACGGTTGTGCAGGAGGCCGAGTGAGCTTGAAGGAGGCGGTCTTGGGGTTACACTCCCTGCGCGGGCAGCATCCTCCTGCTCCCGGCGGGTCGTCTCCTGAGGATTTCCAGCTGCAAGGATGCATGGAGCTTCCTGCTTCCTGAGGCTTCTGGGGGTCTGACCCCGTGAGCAGGGAGGAAGTGCAGGCAGGAAGTGCCCCATCCTGCCATACGCCCTGTCATAGCACAGCCCTGCTGGGCCAGGATCTGGTGTCTTGCCCACCAGAAGTCCAGGTCAGGACTATGTGGGTTGGGGGCTGGGCCACAAGCAGCAAGCCCGAGGCCGTGGCCCGGCCCTGGAATCATGAGCCTGAGCCCTGGACTTAGCCCCTCGGACAGTGCCCGCTGACACCCTGCTCCATCCTCTGCACGTCACAGCCAAGGGTGACGTCCCTTCAGGGGGGCCTGGGGGCGGAGATGCTGGGGAGGCCACACTGCACGAGACTCCATGCAGGGACGCTGCCACCACCATCTGTCCCCCACGTTTCTCCAGGCCCCCATCCACACCGAGCCCCTCCCCCGAGAGCACACATGAACCAGGCCTCTGTTGTAGATGTGCCTGCTTTCCTGGGGCTGGTGGTGGGTTTGGGGCTCCCTTGGTGGCAGCTGGGTCCCCTTCGTTGCATCAGTGTGGACAGGCCACGTGCTCCTTGTCCACCACCAGCAGCCGTGGGAAGGCGAGGCTGTGGCCACTTTCTGGCTGGTATGGTGGGAATGCAGGGGACAGTGTATCCTCCGAAGAGTGGCTTAGAGGGTATGGAGGACTGGCCTTGTCTCTCTCCCTCGCTTGGGAACCAAGAGGAACCTCCCCCTCCCCACCAGTGACCTCACAGGCCCTTGGCCTTTCTCCCGTGGCCCTCACAGCTCTGGCCACAGTGTGCGTTGCTGTTGCACCCTTCGCCCTGGTGCCGAGCACTGACTCACCTCTGTCTCTCTCCAGCCTTCCACGCCTACGGGAAATTCGGGAAGGCGGTGGTGGAGACCAGGTAACCCCGCTGCTCCTGCCTGCCTGCTGACTCTGGTCAGGGCAGGCTCCGGGCCCACAGAGGCAGCCTGAGGATCCTTAGATTCTGTGTCCCAAACGCCACTCTCTCCAGAGCTGGGCATGGGACTCATTCTGCCCCGAGAATAATTAGCATCAGGGTGAAACCCGTGCAGAGCAGCGCTGCCTCCTGGGCGAGTGCCGCCCTCGCCCAAGCGGGCCTCATGGTGGCAGGACAGGGGCACCTCCTGCCCCCATGGTGAAGCGTGGCCTCCTTCCCGCAGCATGATCGGGCTCATGCTGGGGACCTGCATCGCCTTCTACGTCGTCATTGGGGACCTGGGCTCCAGCTTTCTTGCTCGGCTGTTTGGGCTTCAGGTGAGGCTGAGCTGAGGTGTGTGGTGGCTGGAGCAGCGGCTGAGCTGGGCGGGTCCCCAGAGATGCTGGATCCAGTGTTGGGTTTGGGCCCAGGCATCTGGAGGGGTAGAATAGCACCCCAGGAAGCAGAACCTGAGAGGAGTGGAGAAGTTGCCTGGTTGCAGCCCTGCTCCCAAACAGGCCCACCACCCAGGGGATTGAGAGTGTGGGGTGCTCTGTGCACCCCCTGCTCCGGCAGCTGCATCCTGGGGCAGATGTGGCCGCAGGAATATCCAGAGTTTCCTGCCAGAGAGGACCTGTAGGCTGGATGTGGTCCGTCTTCCTGGTCAACCAGGTCCTGTTGAGTTTAGGCTGGGGATGCCTGGAGGCTTTGCCGAGCCTCACCTGTCCTCCCTCCCCATGCCCAGTGTCCAGCGTCTCCCCAGGCCCCACCTCCCCCATGCCTGGCGCTCTGCGCAGAAGGAGCCTCATCCCCCCTCAGGGACCAACAGCTGCCCCAGTGACAGCGTGGTGTGGCACAGAGACCTGCTCCTGCATGAGTGTCCCTGTGTCCCAGGGACAGTGTCCTTGGTCCAGATGACCTCAGTCTCTGGCTTCACTGGGCCCTGCAGGGGCCAGAGGCTGAGACAACACAGCACAGGGAAAGAGAAGCTTCTGGAAGCTGTTGATCCAGAGCTGCACCTTAGTGGCTTGTGTTCTTGGTTGTAACTGGCTCTAGAGGACTGTCCTCTCACCTGCCAGTGCAGGGCCGTGGGCACTTGTCCTGGTGCTGGCAGCCCTTGACCTGCTGGTTTGCTGTCCCAGGTGACCGGCCTCTTCCGGGTGGTCCTGCTGGTGCTCGTGTCCCTGTGCATCGTGCTGCCGCTCAGCTTGCAGCGGAACCTCATGGGCTCCATCCAGTCCTTCAGCGCCATGGCCCTCCTCTTCTACACCGTCTTCATGTGCGTGGTGCGTGGGGCTCCGGGCTGGCAGGGCTGGGGGGGGGGGGCGGTCTCCCGAGGCCCCACCGGCTGACGCCCGCCCGCTCTCTGCAGATTGTGCTGGCTTCGCTCAGGCACGGCCTCTTCAGCGGCCAGTGGCTGCAGCGCGTCAGCTACGTGCGCTGGGAGGGCATCTTCCGCTGCATCCCCATCTTCGGCATGTCCTTCGCCTGCCAGTCGTAAGCGCCGCCCGAGGGCCCTTCTAGGGGGCTGCCAGGCGGGATCTTGTGGCAGGGTCGAGGTGTGAGGGGCCGTGGACGGGGCGCAGTGCAGTCCCAGAACAGAGGGTCCTGTGGGGGAAACACTGCCCCGTCTTGTCGCTGACAGGGTGCATTCCCACGTCTGCTGGGAGCGTGACGGGCAGGGGCTGCGGGTGCCGGAGCTCCTGCGGGGGGTGGAGGGGGGAGTGGAAGTGTGGGGCATGTCTTTCCTGGCCCCCCTGAGTGCCGCCCTGTGCCCCTGCAGCCAGGTGCTGCCCACCTATGACAGCCTGGACGAGCCTTCCGTGAAGACCATGAGCTCCATCTTCGCGTCCTCTCTCAACGTGGTCACCACCTTCTACATCACGGTAGAAGCCGGGTCCTTTCCCGTCCCTCCTGGCAGTGCCCGAGAGGCACCCTGTCCAGGGTCCTGCCCCACGGCCTCTTGTTGAGGACAGTGGCTTCCACTAAAAACAAGGCGCAGTCACCCTGGGAGAAACCAGAAAGCGCAGCTGACTGACAGGCTGCGCCCTTGTGGGCAGTCTCTCCCAGCTGCCAGATCCGACTTCCTGAGCGGAGCATGTGCTCCTGTGTGAGCTGCTGCCTTCACTGTGGTCTCTACGGCCGTCCGCAGGCTGTCACTGTGGTCCGAGGAGACCATGGGTAGCCCTCAGTACCCGAGGCTGCGCCGTGCCCATGGCTACCTGGCTTGGCCTTTGAGGCTGGGCGCCATGGGCAGCTGTCCACTTCTTCCCCTCTTTGCTGACAGAGCGACCCTGAATCCAGAGCCCCTGGGTGGGGTGATGGGTGGGGTGGACACTGGCTCTGAGACCAGGGCCAGCTCTGTGGGCCCTGCCCTGGACCCTCACAGAGGCTGGCTGTCACCACGGGCCGGCTCCTCTCCGCCAGGTGGGGTTCTTCGGCTACGTCAGCTTCACAGAGGCCATCGCCGGTAATGTCCTCCTGCACTTCTCGTCCAACCTGGTGACAGAGGCCCTGCGTCTCGGCTTTCTGATGTCGGTGGCTGTGGGCTTCCCCATGATGATCCTGCCCTGCCGGCAGGCCCTCAGCACCCTGCTCTTTGAACAGCAGGTGAGGCCCCGCCCACACAGCCCAGCTCCCCTCCCCGCCCTGGAGGGGCCCCACCCATAGGAACCATGGCTCCGCCCACGGGGCTTGTGGACATTTTCCTGGTACAAAGAAAACAAAACCTGAACCTCAGTGCCATCCAGTGGATGCCCACTACAGGGCATGGTAGTACTGCCCTCTGGGTTCCTGAGACTCTTCCTCTTTGCGGAAGGCGAAATCCTCAACTTTCTCCCAAAGACCTTGTGGTTACAGCCTCTGGGCGCTGGGCTACTGAATTTAAGGAAAAAGAGACACGCTGGGAGAAACCGCAGTCCGGCCCAGCACCCCACTGATCAGGCCCCGCGCAGCCAGGACCGCCAGGCCGCGCTGTGGCCCTTGAGCCCTGCGTGTGTGCATCTTGGTGACTTATGAGCGTGTGTCAAGCCTTGGCCAGGGGCACATCGGCCCTCTCGCCCATTGTGGCTGAGTGCCCAGCAGAGATGCCTGTCGTAGCTCCGCTCCAGATGGGCCACAGGCCACCCTGCGGCTCGGTGTGTGGCCTCCCAGACTCTGCCATGCCATATGCAGTGCTGGCCCCAGGCCCTCACAGGGGAGGTGATGGAGCCCTTGCTTCCTGGGGTGCCATCATGGCCTCCCCTCAACCCTTTGCCCAGGGTGGCAGCCGGGTACACCCCTACTGGGGACAGCAGTAGCACAACTGAGTTCAGGTTTTTGCCTGCACCCCAGCTGGCCATGACTCCTTCCTGGGCAGACCGTGAGGCCGTCCCCCGGGAAGGACACTTGGGTGGGTGTTCAGCCCTCGTGGCTTGCGTGGGCTCAGTCACTGTGCTGCCCCAGAGAAAGCGGAAGGCTCCCTGCTGCCATTCAGAAGGAGCAGTGGGTTCTGGGCCAATTGAGGCTAGACAGTCACGGTGCTCACTCGGCGGCGAGGGTGGAGGTGGGGATGGGCACTTTACTCCAGGTTCCCTGGGACTCACTCGCTGATGTGCTCTGCAGACCCTGGGAGGCGTTACTGTGGGGCTAGGTCAAGGCTGCGGTGTCCTCACGCCTCTGTCTGCCCCATGTGGGCAGGCCAGGACATCTACCGTCTGTCCTGTGTGGGTGGGTCAGGCCATCTGTCTTTACATCCATCTATCTATCTGTCTGCCCCATGTGGGCGGGCCAGGGCATCTGCCCTCACGCCTGTCCATCTGTCCTGTTCCGTAGCAGAAGGACGGCACCTTCGCCGCTGGAGGGTACATGCCCCCCGTCCGCTTCAAGGTGCTCACCCTCGTGGTGGTGTTTGGGACCATGCTCGGGGGGATCCTGATCCCCAATGGTAGGTCAGCCTCCCGACCTCACTGCCTGTGGGGGCCCCTTCGGCTCCCAAAGACCCGAGGGCCTCGCTCCCCAGAGCATCGGGGCCAGACCAGAGCTGAGGCCTAATTGTGGGACTGGTGACAGAAGCTGCCCTTGCCTGTGAGGCATCGATGGGTGCATGTGTCCCCAAGGGGCTGGGTGCACAAGGGCCAGCTCTGCCTGGTAGCCGGTCTTGGGGAGGAGGCAGGATGGGTGCCACCCAGGGGTGCCAATGTCCTTCCCTCCTGTGGCCTGCCACACCGGTCCCCGAGAGGGGACAGGCAGAGTGGACATGGAGGCACGGTGCGCCTCTTCCCTCACTGTTGGTGCCGTGGCCTCACCCCAATTCACCATGACCCCATGGGACCCACAGAGCTGCCGGGAAGGGTCCCTAGCATGCTCCTCCGCCGAGAGCTGGCGGGCTCAGCCCACCATCCTTTCATCTGCTACTCAGTGCCCAGCTATTTACCCTCAGGCCCCCCCAACTCACCCTTCCACACGGGCAGACCTGGGTGCCATGCTGGCTGCTTACAAAAGGCTGGCAGGGGACCCATCCAGGCCTGTAATGAGGCCTGGTGCGAGGGCATCTGCCCTGCAAAGACGGCACCTCTTATTTGTCACAGCGGGCAGGGTTTCTGGGGTGGCTCCAGTTCTGGGTCACCCGGTCCTCTGCCCGATGCTGGGGTACATCCCTCTCAGCACCCCTGTCTGCCCCATGCAGTGGAGACAGTGCTCGGCATCACAGGAGCCACCATGGGGAGCCTCATCTGCTTCGTGTGCCCCGCCCTCATCTACAGGAAGGTGCATAAGAAGGCTCTCTCCGCCCAGGTGAGGGGTGGCAGTGAGGGTCATGCTCAGCTGTGGCCATGTCAGTCATGGGGTGGGTGGGATGATGGTGGCGGGGGGGTGGGGTGGGGGGGTAGATGATGCTGAGTGCAGGTGGGGCCACCTGGCGCTGGCTTGTGGCAGTAGCACTGAGGGTGCCATGGTTGAGCCTGGCAACACCATTGGCCACACAGGCCACTCGACCCCTGGGGTTCCCACTGCCCGGGACACCAGGTCTTCCCTTGCTGGCCTTGGTGGGAAACCCTTGGGTCTGTCCCGGGTGACCCTGGGGCATGTTATGTGTCCTGGGGCCTTCTGTAACGCCCCCCCCCGCCCCCCCCATGTTCCACTCCAGGTGGTGCTCTGGGTTGGCCTGGGCGTCCTGGTCATCAGCACGTACGCCACCCTGACTGTGCACGAGGAGGCCCCCAGGGACTTCTCAGAAGAGGTGCCTGGCGGCCGGCTTGGGGAGCCCGATAGTGGAAAGAAGGTGGAGGCAGCCCGGCTATCAGGTATGTGCTCGGCTGGTGGGGGACAGAGTTGCAGGCACACGGGGTGCTCGATGGGTTGGGTTCATGTTGGTGTCCAGGGCAGTGGCTGGGTTGCAGAGCAGGGGCAGCCCTGGAAGTGCATGTGCACAGTGCTGGGCTGAGGAAGGTCTGCAGACTGCCTAGCTGGGACAGTGCTGGGTGAAGGTGGACAGGGGTGCCTCAGGGTGAGTGGACATGGGCCTGAGCAAGGGGCACAGCTGGGAGTTGGCTTCCACCAGCTTGCGGGCAGCATGTTCTAGAAAAGCCCGAGGCGGGTGAGGATCCTATAGGGGCCCCTGTAGCCCCATCTCAGACCTGACATGCCCTCTCCTCCTGCCTGGCAGACCCTGGCCTTGGTGGTTAGGAGGGGACGGCCTTCCTGCTCTGGCTGGAGCTGTGCTCTGCCCAGGGTGTGGACAGGTCCTGAGGGGGAGCATTGTGGAGGGGTTCTCTTGGCCAGGAGCCTCAGCAGGCTCACCACCCTTGGGTTGGACGCTGGCAGCGCTGTTGTGAACCTGCGAACCACCTTGGGGGCAGAGACTGCTGGCCCGCACCTGGTGGGGACTGTAGTGAATGCCCTGAGGCGGCAGCCCCTGTGGGTTGGCCCTGTCCTTTCCTGGCTTTGCTTCTTCCCATTTCCCACTGGACAGGGCCCTCCTGTGAGCGGCCAGACTGTTGTCACCGGCTGAGCTGTGGCGCAGCTAGCCAAGCCCTGACCCAAAGTGTCACAGGCTTGGGTTTGGTCTGGATACCACCGCTCTAGCCCAGTGCCCTGCAGTGGCACCCAGAGCCTGCGGGACCAGGCGCTCCAGCTTCTGCTGTTTCCCCCTGTAGAATGATTGATTCTGTAGTCCTGGGGCACCCCCCACCCCCAACAGTCTGCTATGTGGGGGGCACTCCAGGGAGGGAAGGCCTGCCTGGTTGGGTTTTTGCTTACCTTCCTCTGAGGCTAATTCTCACCGGCCCCCCTCTGAAGATGCCTAGTGCCGAGCATTCCCTGCCGTTGTCAGCAGGACCCTCCTTGCCCGCCTGTCCAGGTGTCTCACACTTGCCTCCCGCACGAGGTTGGGCCCTGGCCCTGCTCCGCGGCTGGTGCTGCCACCTGGTGGGAAGGGTGGGGATGACAGGGCTGCGCAGGGTGAGGCATCCCTTGGGTCCGGAGACGTTTTTGTTTTGTTGTGAGCGAGCGGGAGTGGACAGTGGTGGCCCAGCACAGCTGCTGGTGGACAAGCAGGAGATAGCTGGGCAGCCAGGACAGCTTGTCCTGGGCTGCGGCGGTGGGGTCTCCTGTGCTGAGGCCCCCACTTGCTTCCAGCCCAGAACCCAGGAGTGGAGGTAGCCGAGGACTCCCGCAATAAGCCCAAGGTGCCAGGCCAGAAGGACGAGGCCGAGCAGGCTCAGATCAAGGGCCCAGTGGAGGCCCCGCTGAGAGGAGGGGCCCAGGAGAAGCCGCAGGCCGCCCAGCTGGACCGACCGGGCCAGGGTGGGTGTGCCCAGCGAACATCAGTGTGCTGCTGGCCCTGGTTCTCCCTGCCCCAACCCCGCCTGCTATCACAGCTACAGTGTCCCTCCTCCTGGGGGTGGGGCCAGCCCCCCTCCCCCGCTACCTCCTGAGCAGTGCCCCAGGGGTGAGGATCTGAGAAGCCCTTGTGTCCTTTCAGGGGTTGCAGTGCCCCTAGGGGAGGCCCACCGCCATGAGCCCCCCGTCCCACATGACAAGGTGGTAGTGGACCAGGGCCAAGACCAGGAAGGGCCAGCAGAGACCAAACTTGAGCCCAAGCATGCAGGTGGGGAGGCTGCGGCAGGCAAGGAGCCGGACTCGGGGAGGGAGAAGTCCGACCCAAGAGAGGCCCTGCAGGACATGGCTAATCCTGAGGAGATTCAGCAGCGGGTTCCAGAAGCCATCGGCCAGCCTGCCAACGAGGACCTGGGGCCTGGTGACAGTGACAGCCTCCCGGGGCTCCAGGCAGAAATCTCCCAGGAGCAGAAGGTGCCAGCAGGCAGGAGGGAAGCCGGCCATGTCCCTCCTCCTGACCCTGCCGCAGAGGAGCCTGGGAAGCCAGCTGCTGAGCAGAACAACCCAGGTATGTGTGGGCGCGGGGGCTTCTGGGCTGGGGGGAGGAGGGGCTACTTCTCTATCTAGACATCTCCTTTGAGCTCAGCAGTGGCATGAATGTGGCATCTTGAGGCTCCTATACTCTTGGACCCTGCTGGTGCCTCGGGGCCGTGGGTGACACTCCTGAGGGCCCTCAGGGGCAGGCTGGGATACTTGGCGCTGACATGGAGCCACAGGCCACAGGATGGCTCCCCAGGGAACACCGGGTGAGCAGAAGCCATGCTGCGGGGAGCGTTCTGGAAGATCATGGTCCCTTGATGCCCCCTGTGGAGAAGAGTCCAGTTCTCACTCGTGCCCACAGGTGGGAAGGCAGGCCTTTTGGCGCAGCACCTGGAACCCCCCGCGGCACTGTCGGCGGAGCTGCGGGCACAGAGGCAGGCAGAGGGGCAGCCTGAGGACAACGGCGGCAGCAAGCTGGAGGGTAAGGCTGGTGGCTCCCTGGTCACCTGCCCCAGGGATGGCCTGAGGGCCCCCTATCACCCCCAGGTCACCCTGGGACGGTCTGTGGTCCCTCTCACCCCAGCAGGTTCTGTGCACCACTACCCCCTCCTCCTGGCTGCTGCTCTCTGGGGTCGGCTGGCACTGCCCTCATGTTCTCTTCTTTCTCCCTGTCGGCTGGCAGACTGTCATGGGCACTCTTGTCTGCTTCTAGAGCAGACGTGTTAAGCTGTTAACTCTCCTGCTATTTCCAGCAGCCAGGTGTCAGGGCAGCTTAATTTAGGGACCTGCCTGCCTGGTGACCCATCTCCAATCTGGCAGCCCTGCAGCACCCCGCCCACCTGCTCCCTCCTAGAAGCAGCCCGCCCGCCACCCCCCCCACAGCCTCACACCTGTCTGGGCTCATGCCTTGTTGGCTTTCATGACAGTCAGTGTTTGCCACGGCCTCTGTGGCCTCTGTTCAGACAGGTGCGGCCCCTGGTCCCCTGCCCCCTCCTTTCTTAGTAATGAAGGTCAGGCCCCACCTGGTCGCCGCCAAGGCTATCATTGGTCCCAGTGTTCTGGGCAGTTCTTCCTCTTGGATCCCTTGGCTGCACTCGGTCTTGTCAGGGTGGGGCCTCCCGTGTGTGCTTCTAAACTGTAGCACGCCCCTTCTGGGGTCGTGGGTCCAGGCAGCAGGCTGCCCACCCAGGAGCAGCAGGCTCAAGGTGGGCTTGGCCTCTCGCCGCCGCCAGGTCTGTGTGAGGCCCCAGCTCTATCCTTCTATGGAAACAGCCCCCAGGCGGCGGCCTCCTCCCCACACACTGCTCAGCAGAGCCAGAGAAGCCACTGACTCTGCTGCCCAGAAGGGGCCCCCAAACCAGGGCTTTGACCCGGGTCATACGATGTCCGTCAGGCCCACGCAGCAGAATAGGGCCAGCCCAACTGCCTGAGACTCAGATGGGTGGGAACCCTGGCACAGCTACGCAGGGCCACCTTGGGCGAAGACAGGGCTCTACTCCTGTAGTTACAGTCTTGGAACTGCAGTTCTACCCTGCCCTCTGGGGTCTCTGAGTCAGCATCGAGTGCCTGTGTGCGCCAGTGCGTATGCAGGACCACAGGGTGGCCACCGGCTTTGAGCCGGACACCGTTGTTTCTGACTCTGGAGAGCACCAAGGCTGCTGTGCAGCTCACACTGCCCCTTCTGAAAGAGTGGTGGTGTGTAGCTGGGCGGCAGCCCCCACTGTCCCCATGTGGCTGTTGTACACGTTTGGGTCTGTTGGGCTGGTCAGCAGACACGGCTCTCTCGGGTGGGGGTGCAGGTGGCTTGAACGCACATGGGGAGCACTTGGTGGGGCTGTCCTTGTGCTCTCTGGTCTAAAGCTGTCCGATTCTTTCACTTGTTCTCTCTGCAAAGAGCCTTTTCCTGTTTCTTAATCTGCCTCTCTCCTCTCTTCTTTCCACGGGACCACACAGCCGAGATTAAAAAGGTAGTGGCAGGTAGGGACTTGGCCGGGGGTGGGAATTGGGAGCCTCAGGGTGAGGTGGGGTGAAGGGACCCTATGCCGGGTGGGGCACAGCATAGAGCCACACCCAAGTCCCCCTCAGTGAACTGAACCCTGGCCATTCTTGGCCAGCTGCTTGGGGTGTGACTGTCCTCCCTGGTGGCTACAGGCCCCACCTGAGTGGCCACGAGCACCCACTGTACCTGTGTGCTTGCGTGCATGTGTGAGGGCCCTTCTAGAACATCTGGCCCTTGGGCTCTGGGCTCATGTTTCCCTTCCTTGCTGCATACCATTCTGGCCAGCCTGCAGGGGGTCTGCTCCTGCAGAAACCCGTTGTGGGAGCAGCAGTGTGGGGGTCTCCTCCCCTGGTTATGGCTGCAGCACTTAGGCCAGAGTGCAGGCAGCTGACCCTGGGAGTGGCTCTGCTCACCCAGCCTCCAGGTGTCCCTGCACTGGCCACCTGGCCGGGGTCCAACAAGGCTGGGTGCTGCCGCTGTGGTTACTCTGATTTGAACTATAGCAGCTGCCAGCCCTAACTGCTTCCCCCCAAACTAATCCCTTGCAAACGTATGGGTGCTTTAGATGGCAGGGGCAGGGTGGGCCCTGTCCTCCCAGAGTCCCTCCAGAATGGAGACTGTCTGGTGCCTAGGCTGGCCCAACTGGCGCAGGCCCGCGGGGGGAGCGTTCTTGGAGGCCCCAGTGCTCTGCAAACTTCTTAGACCTGGTCTTCCCTTGCACACTGGCCACAGGACCATCGGGCTGGCTGTGTGCGCAGCTTTCCACCCCTGCCCTTGCAGTTTCTCCGGGCAGGTTGGACGGAGGGCCCCCGAAGGTGCACCTGACCTTCCCTTCCGCCCGCAGATGCCGGCCGGGCCGAGCTGCTGGACCACGCGGTGCTGCTGCAGGTGATCCAGGAGCAGCAGGCGCAGCAGAAGCGGCTGCTCGAGCAGCAGGAGAAGCTGCTGGCCGTCATCGAGGAGCAGCACAAGGAGATCCACCAGCAGCGGCAGGACGGAGAGGAGGAGCGGCCTCGCCCGGGTGGGCGGGCGCAGGGGCGGGGCCTCAGTGGGCAGGCGGGAGTGGGGGGCGCGCCTTGACCCCGGGCTGAGCTCATAGGCCTGTGGCTTTCCTTTGCAGTGGACGCGCAGGCCGAACAAGGGGCCGTGGTACCCGCCGGGGAGCTAGGCCAGGACCTGCTGGCTCAGTCCAGGGAACTTGCGCCAGGAGACAGCGCAGGCGCAGCAGCCCGCCCAGAAGCTGTGCAGTCCCATGCGGATGCAGTCAGAGGCACGGCCGGCCCTCCTGAGGGCGGCGTGGACACAGAGCCACGGGCAGCTCCACGGGAACAGGAGCCGGTTGCCGAAAAGGGCCAAGCTGGGTCGCCTGCGCCCCCCGCGCCAGGCCGGGGAGCCCTTGGAGGAGGCTCCCAAGAAGGGAAGAAGTTCGGGCAGGAAGCAGCAAACCTGAGGAATGAGGCAGAGGGGCCAGGGGCAGGAGAGGCAAGTCGAGCCCCAGGGCCTGCCGCCAAGCCAGCCCACCAGCCCATGGGAGGCGTGGTTCCGCAGGCCCCCATAGCACCCGAGCACCTGGGGGCCGCCGATGGCGCTCGTGGCCAGTCAGTGGACCAGGCCCACCACCGGGATGCCAGGAAGGAGGCCCTGGGAGCAAACCCCGCGCCTGAGCCCGGTCCCCAGGCAGCTGCCCCAGACGCCCCGAAGGTGGACGACTCCAAGCCCAACAGCGACCTGAAGGTGCAGGCAGATGCTCCGAAGGTGGACAACGCCAAGCCCAACCACGACCTGAAGGTGCAGGCTGACGCTGCACAGGCGCCGAAAGTGGACATTGCTAAGCCCAATCGAGACCTAAAGGTGCAGGCAGGCTCTGACTTGCGGCGCCGGCGCCGAGGCCTCGACTTGGACCTGGACCAGGGCGGTGGTGTCCTCAGTGCCCACTCTCTGCTGGGGCTTGAGGCGAACGACCTGCGCAGCGTCCTGGAAACCCAGCTGCACCTGGGGGCGCAGGGGGCAGCCCAGGTGGTGCTCAGCCGTCAGGTGAAGCAGGTGCTAGAGGAAGAGGCATGAGCAGCCCCCGAGGGCAGGACCTGGTCATTCCTGGCTCTCCTGGGGAGGGAGGGGCAGGGCAGGCTGGACACTGTTCCAGGGTCCTGAGCCCCACTGAGGTGTCAGGGCAGTCCCTCATGGTGGGAGTGCACTAGCCACCCACCCTCACCTCACTTGTCTTTAGTAGGCCTCTGTGCTGCTGACCTAAGGTAGCTGGGGACTGAGAGGTCCCCCTTTTTATCTCCTGTCCTGAGTTTCGCTGCCATCCAGTCAACACTGCCTGCCACTGCCCCTAGGAACACCACACCACGGGTCACCCACCTCTGGGGACGAGGTCCCCCTCCACTGCATTCCCAAAGGAAACCACCCCATTATTTTTGATGAATAAACACACGCTGGTTGCTGGACAGGTGAAAACTGGTGGCAGGAGAATTGACTATAGAGACCCGGCCCAGGGCTGCCTGGCAGGGGTGCCACCTGCAGTGAGCTCCAACCTGAGCAGTCACGCTGGGTGCACGGAGGTGCTGCTTAAGGGAACAGGTATACTTACCCCCATCTGGGAGATGGGTACATTGAGGCCTCAGCGTGCATCTGTCTGCATGTGTGCCCCACACCATTGTGGAGACTCTGTGGGCTGGCTGGCCTGGGTACGCAGAGCTGGTTACAGGTAAAGGTGTCCCTCGCTCGGAGGACTAGTTGGACATGTGCCTTAGGAGCCTGCCTGGGCCTCAGAGTTCCTCCAGCACACCCCCCCTCTCAGCTTGACCCCCCTTCTCAGCTGCAGTCACTCAAGTCCAGGGTGTCGGTGATGCTGGGCCCACCGGTGCCCACCATTGTGTCCTGCGCTTAGTTTTAGTTCTAAGCAGTCCAGGTGACCTTGCCCAGGGGCAGTCACACCCCCGGGCTGCAGTGGAGTTTGTTTCCAGCTTGCTTTTCTCAAATGTAATCAGTGATGCCGGCCCTTGGTGGTGGTGGTCTCGGAGGCAGGGCCGGCAGCACATGGGGATGGACGGGGTTTGGGGCTCAGGAGCGCCAGGGTCTCCACAGTTGGGGCAGTGGGACTGGTCCCCCATGACATGGGAAAGCTGATGGGGGGCCTGCTGGGTCTAGAAGGCAGAGTCACTGCAGCTCCCTGGGAGGGGCACGCTCTCAAAGCCATTCACTGGGTTCCTCTCCCCTGGGGGGTACAGTTACTGCCCTCTGATCCCATTTCTAGCCCCTGAAAAGCTAGGGTGAGGAGCTGGATACAGGAGAGGTCTCAGTGATGAACAGGGGGGCTGACAGACCTAAACAGTTAACCCTGGAGGCAGCCCCCACCGTGGGGATGCGCTGCCCTTACAAGCCTGTCAGCTCCAACTCAGTGACCCGTTCCCCCATCCCACCCTGCCCCCAGTACCAAAGGAGAGCTGATGGTATAAGCTGTGCTGATGGCCGGCTCAAGTACATTTTATTCTATCTCAGGGCCTGTGCACAAAGCGCTGGGAAGGCTGCCTGGACACACATCTGGGAACCTGGGTCCACTTGCTCCAATTTCTGACCCCGTGTCGATGGCCACCACGTGGCGCCCGCCCTCAGCGGGACATGGCCTGGTTCTGCGGTGGGGGCAGGTAGGCCCAAACCGACGGAGTCTAGCGGCTGGAGGCAGGGCGGGTCGCTGCTAGCAGCCCTTCGTGGTCTTCTTAGCCTGAAAGAGGGTGCCTTCTCAGAACGGGTGGTTTTCGGGCGAGATGGCCCCCACAACGCCGCGAGGAGCTGGCCCGTGGCAGGGTCCATGCGTTCCCACCCGCGCGACCAACACCGCGAGCTCCACCGTGTTCTGGGGTCGGCATCTTCCTTCCCTTGTGAAGCCCACCACGCAGGCCGGCTAGCGCGTGTCTGGCACACGCTCCAACAGGGAGAGCTGCCCTGCGAGGCGGGGCGAAACCCGCGGGTCGCCCGGCGCCCACTTACCGCGGCGAAGCAGCTCCGCAGGGCCGCGAACTCCTGGGCGCAGAGGTCCTTCGTCAGGCTGCCGCCCGCGGCCGTGGAGGCCTGCACGCACCTGCCGTACGCCGCGGCCTGCGGGGGGACGCGCTCAGTACCGGACTCGCCGCGCGCGACCCTCCCGGCCCCCTCGCCGCCCTCCGCTCCCCACCACGTCCGGTGGCGCCCACCTCGGCCCCGCAGGCCGCCAGGCGCTCGGGGAAGGTGCGGAGGCGGGCTCGCACACGACCCCACACCGTGCCCTGAGCCGACATGAGCGCTCCGTCCCGTGTCCCATGGGCGCCGCCATCTTGGGTCCGTCCTCTTCCGGCGCCGGCGGCCTCGGGAGCACTCGCTTCCGCCCTGACCTTCCCTGCGCGTTCTCATTGGCAGGTTTCGACCTTCATCTGCGTGTCTGTTTCTGTTCTGGGACTTTTGATTGGCTGACACTCAAATTGTTTACCGAAGCAACGCTCGGTTTCCGCCCCTTCTGCCGCGCGATTGGCCAGCGTAGCCAGCTCCGCGTGGTGATTGGACAGACATCGGCCTGGCGGAAGCGATTCAATCCAAAGGTGACTGGTATCATGGCTGCGCTGCCGCCGCTGCGGGACCGCCTGAGCTTTCTGCACCGGGTGAGTGAGCTTCTATGGCCCCGGCTTGTCTTCGCCGCCGATTTCAACCTCGGACATAGCCAGGGCCACCACCGGCGGGAGCCGCTGCCGTCCTCCCGGAGTGCCCGCTATCCCGAGGGCCGCCGGGTCCCGCAGCCTTCCCTCCGCCCCGGTGTCCAGCTTCCCGGTCCCCCGGTCTGTCCTCTGGTCTTCCTGCCGTCGATGTTCCGTCTCTGCCCTAGGCCTGTGTCTCTCCCGAAGGAGGGGACCCTCTCTCCAGGGTAGGCAGGTCACTCGCCGCGGCCTCGGTTCTCCTGGGCTTGAGTGCCTTCCTCCCGAAGGACCTTAGTCAGGACCGCGAGCTCTGTAGGAGGCGGACTGCGGCTTTCTTTCCCAAATGAAAGAAACTCCAGGGAGATTCAAGCGTGTGGGCAACGAACCCCTACCGTGGGGACCCCCAGACTCCCACCAGGTCTGGTGGGCATGTGAGACTTTGGACACGGACCCCTGGCCTGCCTGATCCACTTAGCAGCTTGTGTACACATTGTCAGGTGTGGACAGGACAGTGCCTGTGTGGACATACGCAGTGCCCACAGGGTCCATCACTCACAGCTCTGAGCACCCCCAATCTCTCCAGAGTTTGGCTCAGGTGACCCCCATGCGTGCCAGGAAGAAGTGGACGTCCCTGGCTTCATCCCGGCAGTGAGTGCATACAGCATTCATAGAAGCAGTCCTGCCGCAATGCACTGCTAACTGCAAGGTTGGCACCACAAACCCACTAGGTGCGCCTCGGGAGAATGGGAGGCTGTAAAGATTTATAATCTCAAACCCTACGGAGCAGTTGTAGTGCATTCTACAGGTCGCTCTGCGTGGGAACCGACTCGAGGGTAGTGAGTGGGTGGGTGCTAATCGGCCGCGGCAGAAAGGCCTGGCGGCCGGCTCTCCGGCGGTCTCAGCGCCCGCGAGCTCTGTGTTGCGCAGCTCTGCCCTGGCACGGGGGGCGGGGTGTGTGTGTGTGTGTGTGTGTGTGTCCTTGAAGCTGGAGCAGAAAGGTGAGGCAGGCGTGCGGATGTAAGCTCGCCCGCCTGTCCTCATCTCTCCCCGCTCTGTGCGCAGTCCTTGCAGAAGAGGAGCGATTGCCTCCCTCGGCTGTTCTGTCACGTCACTTCCTCGGGCTGAGCTCTGCAGGCAGGCGGCTCTGCTGGCCCGTGGGCAGCCGTGGTCCTCGCTCCCATCACCGCGTGGACCCGCCCACAGGCTTTGTCCAGCTGTGGGACCAAGACCACTCCCTTCGCCTCCCCTCCCTGTGGGCAGGTCAACAGTAAGGCCGCTGGCGCCCCTGGGGCTCCCAGCGCCTCCAGGATAGGCGTGCCCGGCCAGGCGTGCCCCAGTCTCCTCTGCCCGCTCCGCTCCACTGGCGTCCTCACCACGAGTTCTTGTCCCTCCAGCTTCCCGTCCTTCTAAAAGGCACCGCAGATGACGACGTCCCCTGTCCCGGTTACTTGTTTGAAGAGATTGCCAGTATCCTTCCTCGGGTGACCCGGGTCGGGGGTGATGGGCTGCAGGGCCCTGGCAGACGGAGTTTATGGGGGCTCTCCTGCCACCCCGGTGGGCTCCTTGGATTCCTGTACCCTGTCATCAGGCCTCGGGGAGCCCCAGGTGACTTTACACTGACACAAGCTCTCAGGCGCCAGGCCAGGAGCGCTGTTCCCCACTCCCCCAACACACGTCTGCTTGTCCACCCCTAACCCGAGCGCGCAGACATCTCCCACGAGTCCGTGGGGAGCAGCCAGTGCCTCCTGGAGTACCTTTTGCGACGCCTGCAGAGTAGCTCTGGCCGTGTGAAGCTCAAGGTGCGGTGGGAGAGGCGCCAGGTGGCTGCCGTGGGAAGGGGAGGGGGCCGGCTCGGCCGGAAGCCCCGCTCACGTCGCTGTCCCGCCCCCCAGGTGCTGAAGATCCTGCTCTACCTCTGCAACCACGGCTCCTCCTCCTTCCTGCTCATCCTCAGGCGCAACTCCGCCTTCATCCAGGAAGCCACAGGTGTGGTCGAGACACCATCAGCCGCCCCCTGAGCTCAGCAGTCCAGGGTGGGGGTGGAGTCAGGTGAAGCAGCTCACGTCCTCAGGGTGGGGCAGGGTGCCCAGAGCACTGTGCACTGCCAGTCAGTGGTCAGCACTGGTCCTCTGTCCGCAGTCTTTGCTGGGCCGCCCGACCCCCTCCACGGGAGCAGCTTGTACCAGAAGGTGCGGCTGGCCGCCCAGGTGAGTCCCCTGCCCAGCACAAGAGTTCTTCCCTCCCGCCCCATCGGGGACCCCCACCCAGCCCTTGTCCCTGACCCAGAGCTCCCGTTTCTCCATCCTGGGTGGCTCAGGAGGTGGGACTGTCTGGGGGGCAGGCCGAGTGGCCCTCGTGGACAGTTGGGGGCTGCAGTGCTGACGTGCAGGCGCTGAGCGGCTCTTGTCCTTCTTTAGGACTTAGGGAGCGCCCTGTTCTCAGACTCTGTGCCTACGCTGCCTGCGCCCCGGACCCCTAGGCCGCTGCCTCTTGCTGGTACATGACGAGACCTTAGAGCATGCTCGCCCTGCCCGCCATGGGCATGCGTGCTGAGGGACACCAGCACTGACCCCGGGTCCCCTCCCCAGGCATGGGCTCCCAGCCGCAGCCCCACAGTGGCGCCCTGCAGGGCTTTGGCTTCAGCCAGGAGAGGGGCCAAGGGGGTGAGTGCTACCTTAACTTCCGGGGCAGACCCAGGCTGGCCCTCAGTCCACCTGGGCTTGACCTTCCATAGGGCCAGAAGGAGTGGGGAGGGGTCAGGAGCCCTCCGCCCTCAGCAAGGTGCCCGGTCCTCTGCAGGGGGCAGGAGCAGGGGCAGGGCTGGTGGTGCCATCCTCTCCCCTCCCTGGGCAGGCTCTGTGGGCGAGGCCCTCCTGTCCACCATCCAGAAGGCTGCTGAGGTGGTGGCAAACGCTGTGCTGCCCGGCCGAGAGTGGCCGGGCCCCCTGAGGCCGGAGCCGGGGGTCAGCACCTACCAGCCCGCTGTGACGCCACCCGCCAGCCACAGCCAACCCCCTCCGGGGAGGCTAGCCCCCGAAGCTGGCCTGGGCATTCGAGGTACCTTGGTGGGGTGGGAATCTCACCTCATAGCCTGGGCTGCAAGCTGGTTGGGGGCAGGGGCAGGGGCAGGGGGCATTCTCTGCCTGCAGGGGCCGTCACAGCCACAAGGCGGCTTCCTCAGCTGCTGCCCAGACCTCCTTGTCTCAGAACCCCAGGCTGGACGCAGGCTCCCGCGGGGCGTGAGCCTGGCTCTTATCTGCCTCCCCTCCCACCCCCAGCTGTGAGACACCAGCCGGGGCAGCCCGGGGGCGGCTGGGAGGAGTGTGACAGCAGTCCCAGCTCCCAGGGATCTTCCCAGAACGGCGGCCGGAGCAGAGTGTCCGACTCCGGCAGTGGCTGTGTCAGTGAGAGCCACTCGGGGACCATCCGGGAGCTGGGGGAGCAGCTTGACAGGTGAGGTCTGGGTGCTGCAGGTGTGGGCCCAGGGCTGCCTCTGTGCCCCCCTTCCCTCTTCTCCCCTCTCTGGTCCAGGATCCGCCCCCCTGGTATGCCCCCAGGACCTCACACCAGTGTGAGGAGGAGGGGTGTATGTGATCAGTTTAGCAGGGCCCAGTACTCCCTGACCTCTCCCCTGACCCACCCTCCGTTATCTGTCCATCTGCCGACAGGGTGGAAGCCCTGTCCCTGAGCGATTGCCAACAGGAGGTGAGCCTGGTGAGGGCGCTGGTGCGGGGGCCTCGGGCCTTCCTGAGCCGGGAGGAGGTCCAGCGCTTCCTCAAGGAGTGAGTACCCGGCCCTGGTTGGGGGGATGCCCCAGGTTCACCCCACCGGCTCACGCCAGAGCTCAGGTGAGGCTGCCGTCACCCAGTCAGTTGGCCCCTGGCCTAGCTGTCCCTCTGTGCAGGTGTGGGCGGCTCAACTGTGAGGCCGTGCTGGAGCTGCTGACCCGCCACCTGGACGGGACCCCCGAGTACGAGCAGATGGTAAGGCCGAGTGGGCGGTGTGTGTGCACGTGAACTCGCGTGCAGTCCCTGGCTGTGAACAAGCCCTTCCCGAGTCTCTCAGAGCTGAATTCGGGGCACCTGCAGGAGTGGGGCCCCAGGCTCAGCCCCCCTCTCCCTCCCCCCCCAGAGAACCCTGTGTGCCCTGTCGGCCCTCTGCAGCTCCGACCTGCTGTCCCAGGAGCGGGTGCTTCTGCTGGCCCGGCCCAGGCTGCAGGAACTCGCAGTGCACAACCCCGGGCCCGTGGCCAGCAAGGCCACCAAGGTGAACAGCTGGGGAGGTGACTGGCCCCTGGGGGTGTCACAGGACTGGAGCCAAGGTTTATCAGGTGACCAACCTCCTGTGGTTCCCACCTCCCCCCAGATCCTCAGGCATCTGGAAGCATCCTGCCAGCAACGGCCCCTACCCTGGAAGCTCCCGGCTGAGCCCCGTCCTGCTGTGCCCCAGGGTCCTCCACCCAGGCCTCCTGACCTGCTGTCGGACGCTGTGCCTCCTCCAGGCGGCCAGCCAGCCCTGCAGCCTGAAAGCACTGCTCCCGCAGTGGGGCAGCAGCCCACCCCTGCACCCACCCTGGCCCCCCAGGAGGCAGACACAGGTGCAGCAGACTTCCCGGTGCTGGGTGCCGGGTCTGACACGCTGGTCAGAGGCCTGGAGGCTGACCCAGCCCCCAGAGGCTGCCCACAGACCCCAGCGGCTGGTGGCAGCGGCTCCTTGTTTGCTGGCATGGAGCTGGTGGCCTGTTCCCACCCGGTGAGGGGCCGGGTTCCGGCCAAGGAGCCCCTCCTCCCCCACTCGGTGCCCGAGGCCCCCCGGACGTTGTCACCCAGGGCAGCAGCCTCAGCCACTCCTGCCTGGGAGGTGTCAGCCTTTTCGTTCCTGAACTCATGACCCCACGCAAGCCACACCCCTCCAGGGGTCCCTGTCCTTGGCTCTCCTGCTGGGCCTCCACCCTCACCCTCCTGCATCTGGCCAGCACTGAGCTGAGCAGGACCGGATGTCCCCATGAAGACCCTGCCGATGCCCCCTGGACGTGCCCTCCGTCCCACAGGCCACTGGAGCCAGCAGGCGGGGAGGATGGGTGGTCTGCCGTCCCAGATCTCTGCACGTCCTGACATCCCCCCTGGCGCTCATGGCTTCTTGAGCCCGCTGAGGGCAGCTCCTAGGTCTCCCGGGGATGGGGGCCAGCAGAGGGTCCAGAGTTCACGGCTCATACAGATCAGGGTGGGGTCAGAGTGGGTATCGCCAAACTGCCCTGGGGTCACCTCCTTGAGTCCTGTGGGACCCACCCTAATTAACCCCAGAGTTGAGTTGCTCAATGTCAACATGTGGGGGGCCCCATCCCTCCACCCGAGCAACTTGGTTCATGGTTCATGGGAGACAAGGCCCTCGGTTTCCCGCTGGCTGGCTGCCTGCTAGGCCTCGCCACAGGGACTGTGTCCACTGTGGCTCTGGAAGAGGTAACTGCCTCTCCTCTGAGGGGACCGAGCTAGAGCCCTCTCCCCCAGAGCACAGCGGTCCCCCTGATCCAGCTTGGTCTGGGGCCGTGCCAGACCTCAGTCCCTGTTGGCATGCCCACGGAGACTGGTCTCAGAGGACCCCCCTGCCCAGCCCTGAAGCACCTCGGAGCCTTTGGGTTCACAGTTTCTAAATAAACACTTGTTTACACAGAGAGAGAACATTCCCCCCGTTCCTTTTTCTGGAAAGGTGTATTGCTGTCGGGGGCCCACAGGGCCGCTCAGTCCATGGCATCCGATGCCTTCCCTGTGGCGGCCAGCGGGAAGCTCCACTCCTCTGGGCGCTGATGTGTGTCTCTCACCCTCTTCTTGATGAGCCCTTAGACCCAGAGCAACTGCTTGTGGCAGAGCTCAGAGGATGGGAAGCCGCACCCCTCTCCCCGACAGTGCCCCGTGCCTTGCAGCAGGGCCTCGGTGTGTTCCTACACGGTCACCCTGTGGAGCCCGCGGGGCCCACAGCCATCCGGTGGTGCCCAGCCACAGCTGCTGCTCTTCCACGGCTGCTTCGGCGGAAGGGCGGTCCCCTTCTTCATCGACCACCACCGGTGGGTTCTGACTCAGCGACCTTCTGCCACACCTGG